TAGAGGGAAGTTCTTTACAGAGAGAGTGGTGAGGTGCTGGAACAGCTGCCCAGAGAGGCTGTGGATGCCCCATCCCTGGAGGTGTTCAAGGCCGGGTTGGATGGGGCCCTGGGCAGCCTGGTCTGGTATTAAATGTGGAGGTTGGTGGCCCTGCATGTGGCAGGGGTTAGAGCTTGGTGATCTTTGAGGTCCCTTCTGGCCTAGGCTATTCTATGTTTCTGTGACTATGAATTCCAACAGGAGTTAACACACGCTGGGTAGAAGGTTAGTAAACACTCCTGATGATCAGAACACTTTCTGAGAAAAACGTGGTATCTTGGATACTGTGTCCATCCTCCCTTCAAGCTACCCATGTAATAGATCGCGGACAAACTCAAGACACATACAAGCAGACTACATGAGATGACTTAGGTGAAGGTGATAGAGGTACACCTGATAGAGGCTGTTCTTTTAACACTTTTTCTTGTTCTGCTTTGTTCTTACTGCAAAAATTAAACTTTAGATATGTCACTGAACTCATACAAATGGTGATAATTCCTAAAGGAAGGCTTGCATGACCTAAAATGAATTAAATCTGCCATGAGAGGCTGAATCAGAACAATTTTCCAGCCATACAAAGAAAAAGACAAAAGGACTTCAATTTACTATTTTCTGCATCAGACTTTTCAGTGTTCTTCCTGAGCATCTGCAGCAGAAAAGCCCAACTGAGCAAAGGGGTCAGGCCCTGGGACACTGGGAATTGGAGCACTGAGGTCCTTCTTCTTCCTGCCCTGAGAAGTACCTCAGGGTACTTCTACAACCCTGAAGTGTCCTATCAGCTTCTCAGCCTGGAACTGCTCCACTCTGCAGAATGTAACTTCAGCTTACTGGAAGAAAAAGAATGACTTCATATTTCAGTTGCTGTGGCACTTAACCGTTGCAAATGCTTGGGTAAATGTGTTCCCCTAAATATCTCATTCCTAAACAGCTTCAGCAAAAGAGAGAGCTACCCAGAACAACTCTTGGCAATTAAAATAGTAATACAGCCTGCTCTCACTCCCAAAACTGCCTTCCTATCACTACAGGGCACTGAAATCCAAACCAAGCCAGAAGTGGGGCATCACAAGTCTATCACAACACATGCCTGAAGATCTTCGTTTTGGAAAGACTAGAGTGATAATCAGAAGTGTGGATAGGCTGTGAGGGTGTGAGAACAGCCTCACATTTGGGGTATTTTACGTTTTGAAAGTTTTGCCTTTACAGGAAAGGAGTGGGTGGTGTGCTAGTGTGTTCAGAAAGCATGTCTGGGTGTAAAATGAGCAAGCTGGAAATGTGGAACGTTAAATGAAATTTAATTGGTGACTACCTGAGTTTTACAAATTGTGCTGACAAGCTGCACACTTACTGAGCAGCCTGGCTGGGAACTGAGCAGAGCTTTCAGTGCTGGTGTGTACATAAATTGAGTACACATATTCCTTTAAAGCTCAACCCAGCAGCACCACCTCCCCCATAGCCTTAAGTTCTCCTTTATTCATCAGGTTTGCTCAGGAAAAAAACACCTGTCAGGGTCATTTCCTTTCACTTTTCTGCCTGTTTTGAGTGCAAAGGTTCAAGAGATCCGTGTACAGGTTGACAGTAAAAGTCTACTCACCCCATCCCCACAAGAAGGAACTAGTTGGACATTCACATAGCAATAGGCTTTGCAGCACAAATCTTCCAGTACTTGAAAGGAGCTTACAAGCCCGAGGGGAACCAAATTTTGCACAAATAGATAGCATGAGGTCAAGGGGAATGGACTTAAACTGGAAGAGGGGAGGTTTAGGTTAGGGGTTAGGAAGAAATTCTTCACTCACTGGCACTGTGAGTGAACCGGCACAGGTTGCCCAGAGAAGTTCTGGATGCCCCGTCCCTAGAGGTATTCAAGGCCAGGTTTGATGGGTTTCTGGGCATAGTGGTTGGCAACTCTGCCAAAAGCAGGGAGATTGAAACTAGATGATTTCTCAGGTCCCTCCCATCCCAAGCCATTCTGTGATTCTATGATATGGTATCTGGTTACAAACAGCATTTAGTGGTCTCTACTAATGAACCAGTGTCACTTTTAATTCCCCAGCATCATCTGTGAAGCTGTGAAACAATCCTGATTTTGCAGCCTAGATCTTTTTCTCAAGAGTTTCATGGATGAGATTATTCCACAAACACTACCAAATTGCTACAGATCCCAAACCCTCACTCACATTATAAATAACAACATTCTGAGGAAATTAATGTGTGTAAAGCAAACAGCAATTGGTCTTTAATAATAACAACGTTCAGTCACTTTCCAGCATCTGGGACGTTAAGCCACGTTACCTAAGGATTACAGAATCAGAGCTGTGGGATCCCCCAGCGTGGGAAGGACCACTGGAGAACACTCAGTCCAACTCCCATTAAAGAATGGCCCTCTACAAAGTGCAAATGTCCTCCCAGTCTTGTCCAGATAGATTTTGAATATAACCAAGGATGGGGATTTCACTGCCTCTCTGGACTCATTTCAAATCTTGTCCGCTGTCCAGGTGAACATTTGTTTCCTAATTTCTCATTGGAATATCTAATATTTCAACTTGCATCTAATGCATTCTGTCCCATACGTACCTCCAAGAAGAGTTTGTCTCCCCCTTCTCTACACCCTCACATAAAGCAGCTGGAGACAGCACTAAGATTCTTCCCTTTATCTTCTCTTTTTAGAGTGGAAAAACTCAACTGTCCCCCTCCTTATATACCAGAAACCAGTCCACTCATCATTGTGATGACCTTCCATTGGATTTCTTCCAGTTTGTCAGCACTGTTTACAGAGGAAACCCAAACTGGACACGATATTCCAAGAAGTTGGAATGATTACATCCCCTGACCTGTGGGCTACACTCTTCTCCATAGCACCTTTGCCCAGATGCAGGCTGCTATTTCTCACCCAGGAAGCTACCCAGGTCCTGCTGCAAAGGGCTGCATAGGGTTCTTCCATCCCAAGTGAAGAATTCTGCATTTCTATATAAATTCTGTACGTACGAATATATTTGTATGTATTTCTCTCCAATTTCTATTTTCAATTAATACTCAACCAACTCATTCAACTCCAGAATCTGTTAATACATATTTTTAAAAGTTCAGTAAGTGAGATCATGAAAACATGGATAATTTTGTCATTAGAACATAATGTAGTTTTACTTCTTCAGATTTAATACATTTTAATTTCCATTTCCCTTTAAGTGTAATTTTTGTATTTGTTCCTGAAGCAAAGAATAACGACATATTTTCTATAATTTGTGGATAATTCTGTGAATTATGGGCTTCATCTGATTCTCCAGGAAGGACCCACACTACAAAAACCTCTCTGCCAGCAGTTGCTAAGTGTTCTGATCAGTTGAATGATAGTCAAGGACATCTGGCACCTTGCAAACCTGGAATTTTAAATCAGGAGGCTTTTATGAAAGCACACAAACCTCATCTGTCCTCTGAATCATAAGTACAGAAACTAGCCATTCCAAATTGTCAGTATTCATGTGTACGAAAGACAAAAAAACAATCTCTCCCCCAAGAAGATGGCAGTATACTTCAGAAATCATGTTACAATCCCTAAGGTTACATCCCTTCTAACAACTACATCAGACCAGCTCCTATTTCCCGGCTCTGAGGACAAATGTCACAGCACAGCATGAATCTGTATGGGCAGATCCCCCTTCCACCAAAACAAGGTGACCGCCTTCAGAACTCCCACTGGACTCGGGGCTTTCCCTGCACTGCATTCCCAACCCCATTTAGGGGCTGTCTGTGAGGCTGCCTTTAAACACACAGCACAGCACGCACAGGGTACACCTCACAGCATCACCTTCATTTGGGTTTTCTCTCCCGACTCTCTGAAAGTGCAGTTCACCAGCAAGTGCCACTGCCCCCATTTCCTAACACTCTTCCCACAGGGCTGTCCTGCCAATGCAGGCAGCAGGTGCTGTGTGTTGGCACCTGCTCTTGTCCCAGGCATGTGCCCATGCCCGGTGACAGCAGCTCCTACCTGGAAGCCCTTTGAAGCCCTCAGTGGGGCAGTCCGGAGCAGCAGTGTGCCCACGCAGGCACAGCCCTGCCGAGAGCTGCCCAGGCTGGATCCTGCATGGAGCTGGTGCGCAAGAAACCTGCTCCGTGCATCCCTATTCTGCTTTCTGCTCCGAGGCCCAGAATCCCGTTTCTCATCTCAGGCAGGTGAAATGCCCATGCACTAGTCAATAGCAATAGCAAAGGGAGAGATTACCGCTAAGAAAGGGCTCGCCGATTGCTAACAAGTTAGGAAACGCCAGAGCAGAAGTTCTCAAAGAAATAATCCCTCGACACAGACAAGCAGAACGACCAGCTGGTGGTTCATACAGATTATATGAAAGCCGTAACATTGCCATGACATTCCCCAGCAGATTTTCAGAAGGACCTGTGTACAATGCAACATGCACACTAACTTTCTCCCTTTGCTATCCACCCTACGCCCCACCGTGGGGAACCCCCACCCCCAGCGGCCCCGGCGGAGACAAAACCGCATCCCGCATCGCGCATCCCGGCTCGGCTACCCGCGCCGCCCGGCTCCGATGGCGAGGCGAGACCGGCGCCGTGCCATGACTAAGCACCCGGCCCGGGGCACTCACCTGCCCGCCGCCGGCTCCTTCGCCGCCGCTCCGCGCCCGTCGGCAGCGCCGCCCCGATCCGCTCCGCGC